ATCCAAAAGAAAGAAAAGAAAGGTTAAAAGAAGAGCACTAGTAGCAATTGATGAGTAAACTTCTTTGTTTGAGGAGGATGGAGCTGAAGGTATTGCTGCTGTACTATTACTTGCCAAAGTTAGATTATTTCTGCAGAAACACGGCGGAGAAAATAAAAAATCAAATACCATCATGCTTAAGTCGTAATAATAATGATTAAAAGTATAATATAAACAATCTAAGCACATTTAAAATAAAATCAACATAGCAAAATTTCAAGGACAGAACATACCCAGTTCTCATGTAAATGCAGCTATCATAGGCTGCAAAATCAAAAACAAATCATTTTTTCCAGTAAGCAATGTAAGCCGGGAAGATCAATATATGACTAAATAAACAGAAAAATGATAACCAAAATTAGTGATACGAGATGAACATACTTGGATCTTTATCGACTATTACCCCAGTCCCTCCGAAACTACACGCAACATCAGAAGCACCGTTTTGCTGATAATAGCTATTAAAAGCATATGAAGCGTGTGAGACTAAGTTATCCGGCAGAAAACAAGGCTGACTTGGTTGGATAGCAGTGCAGTCCACATTGCCAGAAGTACCACAAGCCCAATTTATCGCATTCTGTAAATCAATTTGTGTCGCCTTACTCGAAGCAATGCACCATTTTGTTCCATTTGACTTTGTTACATTTGCATCCGTGGTCATATCGACAGGACTTTGTCCGGTGAAATCTAGGCTATACACACTTGTTTGGTCCGGATAAAATAACCCCCAGTTTCTCTCGGATTCCAAACCCGGCTTTCTATTTTCGTTAAACAACGAAAAAATGTAGATGTCTAGTTCTTCTCCGGGTTTTGCAGGTGTACCAGTTTCATTGATAACATGTCTTATCAGATTGATATTATATGTTTGTGCATTGTCAGGAGTTGCGGCTGTCTCCTTAGGCGAACCTTTCGAGGCCAGCCTGTTTCGGTTACCATCACTTTAATAGTTCTGAATTCAACGCCGTCAATGCAAAATAAATGGCGTCAATCTGAGCATCAAACATGTTTGTATAAAGCAAACCAGTGTTAGGATCGATAACTTCGGAGGAGGACTCGAACAATGCATAGTCCAACGACACTTTGTTCGGGGAGTCACGGTATGCATAATAAGGATACAGATCGATCATAAAAGGCGACTGATTTTCCGCAAGAAATTCTAGCAGTGGCTTCAGGAAATGAGCATGTTTGCTATCGAAAGCACCGGCGAAGGAGGGAACGATCGAGACAACACGCCAAGGGAATGGGTGCTTGAAACTTTTATCTTCTTATGAAGTCCAGCTTTCTTAAGAGCTGCAAGGACATTAGTCATGGCTGGCACAACCAACGCGGAAATGTTTTCAGGACTTTCCGTGATTTCTGCGCCAACGGTTATGTATGTGATCTTCGTAGCTGGATAGTAAGGAAGGATGCTGTTTCTGAGCCAAGTGTCTGCATTGGTTTGGAACTGTGAGAATGGAAGCAAATCAAGATTTGGAATTCCAATCATAAGTTCGACTCCGGTGTTTGCGAAAGATTTCAGCACTTGAATGTTAGAATCATAGATTCTAACATATTTGATTTTGTGATCTTGAACTAATTGTGACACCTTATCAGGTGGAGGTAGGTCATCAGCATTTCTTCCATAGCATATTCCAACAAAACTTCCATGGCAAGAACCTGACAAAATTAGATCCACATGAAAGGAAATTGATTAAGAAAAGTTAAACTTTAACCTATCTTTATAGCATTACATTTCTTATCCTTTCTATAAAAAAAAAAGGACATAAGCTTCAAATTATTTCACAAACAACTTCAAAGTAGACAAATTTCATACTTATAGTACAAACCCTAAAGAGCCATTGCAAACAAAAGTACTAAAACACTGCGGTTACATTTTAAAAAAAAAAAAACACAACACATAAAAACTATACCATAAAAAATCATAAACATAAACATAATGCACATAGAAGAGAGAAAGAAGAACAAACCAAGAAGCATAAGCAAAAGTGATGAAACAACTAAGATGAACCAAAACCCTCTTGCCATTGTTCTCACAGCTCTGAAGAGAGTGAAGCTAGTTCTCCTTCTTCTTCTTGCTTTGTTGGTTGCTGGTTTAGAAACAGAAAAATAAAGTAACGGTACTTTTTTGTTTCCCTATGTAATGTCTCTAGAATGAAGTGCACAAACTTTTTATTAAATTAAATAATTTTAATAAGAATCACAAACAAAACATCACATAAATTTTTTAACTTATTTGTAAATTATGTACATATTTCTAATATTTTTTAAATAAGAAATGATTTGCATGCGGGTCCCTACCCCTATTACAGATAGAGAAATTGAATGAATAAATAAATAGAATAACTCTACACTTTGAGAGAGAAGTATCAGAGTTTTTTTGTCAGTGTATTTTAAACTTTAAGAGTACAGTAGTAGTAACAGAGTGGTGGATTTCAAATATATTCATCAAATTTAGTTTTGTGTTTTTTCTCGATTCCGGTGACTAGCAAGTATGTTTGTTTTTCTTCTGTCTGTCTCCCACTATTGTACTACTCCCTTATCAATGTATTTAATGCCTCTCAAGTTTTTTTAATGAATGAAATAGATTAAGCCCTATATGATAATGCACATTCTTCATGTGATGACGTAATTTTAGAACCTATATGATTGCAATAATAATTACATAAATGAATCTCTCGATTAATATGTTTGATGAGTCATTTTTAGATTTCTAGAATGCATGGTCTTATGAAGTAAGCAAATTGGAAGTTCAAGATCCACACAAAGAAATTAATTTAGCAAGAGAAGGTTTCAAACCAAAGCCTACCTACATGAGTTTTCAATTTTACAAAGTGTACTGATATATTTGTAAAGCTTTTTAAATAAGGCAGCGCATGTCTATCTTAGCTAGTAAATTTTGATTAGGGAAAAAAAAAGTAAATTGAAAGAAGAAACTTTGTATCACAAACAAAGAAGCGTTGAAATAGGTTGACGTCGTCGAAGAGGTTTGACAGGCAAGACAGGAAAAGGGACATATGGGCCCAATCAAAGCAAGTTCGACGGACAACTATACAGATCAAAGTCGAAGCCAAGAACAGTTAACACGTGCAAATTTTGAAAGCAGTTGATGAGAACGTGGGGAAGTTACAAACAAAGTGGATAGTAGTTTGGCAAGCCGTGAATAGTCGACAGCAAAGCAACAATTATTTTTATGCTTAGTTAAGTAGAATTTAGTTTCAGCTCAAGAGGCCGCATTTTTGTAACATTGTAAAGAAAACACTCAAAGTACCAATGTCTAAGGAAAATGAGTTACTTCTACACAAATGTATGCATGCGCCCAACTTATATTTAAGCAATTCACTCCCTCCGTCCCACAATGAATGACCCAATTGACTTTTTACACAGATTAAAAAAAAAATGAAGGAGAGAGAATGATATTTTTACTGAAGTACCTTTATAATATATTGAGAATGATGAAAGTAATATTAGTTAGAGAGTAAAATAGAGAAAGTTACATTGGAAATTGAAATGGGTCATATATTTTAGGATACTATTTTATTCCAAATGGGTCACTCATTGTGGGACGGAGGGAGTACTTTATAAGTCTTTTTCAATTCACTTTCCTTTCTAGTTTTTTTTCTTGTTTTCTCATTTATTTATCCTAGTTGCACCAACGGAGCTTCATCAAATTTCTTGTCTATCATTTCAAACTCAAACACTCAAATAATCAATCCATACTTAACACTAAGTCTAATATTTCGTAGTCGATCTTGCAAGTAACCTTTAATAAGAGGCTAGAGATTGTTCGCCGGAAACTTGTGTGAACAAATTGGCACACCTGGTGGGACGTGTTGTGTTAAGTATATGCAATTGCGTAGTAGTAAGAAAATGGTAGATCCACGAAATACCAGTCCAAACGAGGAGAAATCCTCAGGAGGAGATACAGTTGTGTCACAAGCAACTGATGTTGGTTCTAACACTATGGATGCGGTTTCGACTGCCCACAGTGGACAAATATTGTCACCACGTCGGCCTGAAACTCCAAGATCGAAGGTGGTTGGAACTTCAGGGCCATATATGCCCAGTTTCACAATGCCCATGTATGGTAGGGATTGAAGCTTTGGAATGCCAACCGAATTGATGGAAAGTATACATAACAGCGGTTCGATGTTTGGTGAAAATTCTTCCTCATCGTTCTCACCTTACCATGGATTATGACCTATGGGAAATCAATTCGGTCAAACCACAAGGCTAGTGTTTTCATCTCAAGCAATCCCAACTTTCACCTCAAGTTCTGTCACAGTTATGAGGTAGCAGATGGACGAAAGTAATCACAAAATAGTTCATATGCTAACTCAGCAAATGGATACCATACTTAGGTCATTAATTCAAGATTCGACTCAGAGTTATCAACAAATGGCAACTCAGATGACTCAAATAAGTGATTTCTTAGGTGCTCCTAGGGCACAAGTTCGACAGACAACCCTACCTCAACCAGAGGTACCAGTCCGACACAAAGAAAGGTTCGACGAGACAATTGACCAAGAACCTCAGGTGGTCAAACAAATACCTAGAATGTCCCGACATCCTCTCGTCGTGTTAGTTAATAGAAACCAAGATCTCGACTACGTGGTCAGGCAAGTTCGACAGGATGCAATGGCTGGAGAACAAAACCTAGAAACCATTGTCGAGCGAATCATGGTTTGAAATAGTGTAAGCCTTGGCCTTCAAAGGCCAACGTATTCATCCCCATTATTAGATTTTATTGTGCAAACAGAATTTCCTAGGGGATGGAAGGTTCCGAAGTTTACCAAGTTCGTTGGGGACACCGAAGAGTCCATTGTTGAACATGTTGCCAGGTATCAAACCGAAGTTGGTGACATAACGAATAATGAGGATTTAAAAATGAAATACTTCTTAAGTTCCCTCATAAAAAAATGCGTTCACTTGGTTTACAACGCTACCTCCACAGTTCGTCCATACGTGGACACAGTTGGAGAGATTCTTCCACGAGCAATTCTATATGGGACAATCAAAGATAAGTTTGAAAGAGTTGGCCAGCGTCAAATGAAAGTTTGCTGAGTCAATCGATCAATATCTCAACAGGTTTAGACTTTTGAAAGCAAGATGCTTTAATCAAGTCCCTAAACACAAGTTAGTCGAAGATGGTGTAACCAGAACGGTGTTTTGATGCCCAGGGGCTTTGGGAACATACGAACTGGTTGTGATGTTGTTTGGTTTAAAAAACTTTAGAGTAACTGTCATACCCCAAATTTGTCCTAGCTCTGTATATCACTCTCATCCTGTACACCCATCCCACCAACCATTGTTCAGAAAATCAAAAAAATATATCTGTTGTTTTTGTCATCATTGCCTAATTCCAAGTTGTTGCGGGATTGAGTTGGATTTTCAGGGCAGTTTATGTTGGTTTCAACTTTATTCTTGGTAAGACAAGTTGTGATGAAAGATTAAGGTGGGAATAATTGTTTTAGAAGGTGTGTTTCGGGATCCAGATTATGGTATGCAAATTTCCAATCAAAGATTCCATGTTATTCCAAGCCATATGTGTGTATGTGTGTTTATGGTAAATATTTTGGTCCAACAACTCAAGTTCGAGATTGAATTTAGTGGTGGATTTATCTTCACAGAATTAATTCAGGGTTCAAATGATTGATTCAAAGATTAATCCAAATTTTGATTTGTTGGAAGTTTTGATCCATTCCAAGCCGGAGCTGAGCTAAGTTCGATTTTTATTTTTCAAGTTTAATCCGAAACTTTGATTTGGTAGTAATTCAGAAGGGATGGAATTTGAATGGTAAGTTTTGAATCATAATTGAAGTGCAAGAATTAAGCTTATCAAGAGTGGATTTGCAAATTCAATTCTTCCAAAAAGGGTGAGAAGATACTCAAAGTCACCTTCGTAAAATGCACTGCAGGAGTATTTATGTCACCGGTTTTTATATATATGGCAAAACTCATCATATAAATAGTCCATTTTAATAGAAAAATCCATACAATGAGACCTGAACTTGAAAAAAAAAACATTTAGAATGAGTGCATTATTATCCAAAATATTGATACAAGTTATCATCCAAGGTATTGATACAGGTTTACTCCTGCAACAAAGTGTTTTTTACATAAGGCTCATCCAAAATTTAGCCATGAAAAGCAACAAACAGCTAGCATGCCATCTTGTGAAAATCGTACCAGCTGCTACAACCAACTGCAGCATAAAAAAGGATCACTTTCATCACACCCCTGATACCCAAAGTCGTACCATCAAACCATTCTGTCACTGATACCACAACTTGCTGTGAAAAAATGAAAAGGGAGCCATGAGGACCCCACCCCACCACATCCTGCTGCGGCTGATGGAAAACATAGCAGCATGCGACATCCACGCGTACCATTGGGTAAAGGCTTCAAAATGCAAGGACTTGCAACATAGCCTGTAGTACGCCCATGATACCGTACGAAAGCTGTCCGTCCAACAGGCCGACCTACAGCTTGCACAACCATAACCTGCATAAAATAACAAGACAATCACAAAAGCCTCTTCACATCATTTTGGCACTTGGTATGTGCAAAAGTTATTCAAAAGGGAGTTCAATAAAGGCAACAGCAGTACGAAACGCAATGGTTACGACCGGCGCATACTCCGCACAACCAGACACAAAAAACCTTGATACTTACCCGTAGCTGGTATGACTGTGACTTGCGACATCAAGTCGTTGCGCATATAGCAGCCTGCACCAGTTGGTTCGTAGCTTGAGTTATAGTAAGTATCACACATCTTCTTGCATAATCAAACTCACGCCAAAATCCAAGACTAGCAAGTTGTGATGCTTCAAACCACGCCGAATGCTCACTGCGTAGTACTGGAATATTATGCCTTCATAATCAGTCCAGGAAAATGCATATTCTTGCACACGAATTTGCGATGTTTCAGCCTTCGTGTAGCTAACGTATGCGCATCGGTTCTCATCCCATAATGTGCTCATAATCAAAAAACCTGATATGAGAAAAGCAAATGACAACCTGCAAAA